GGAGGAGGGGAAGCTGTGAGGAAGCAGAGACTGGGCGCCTGACCCAGGCTAGCCAGGAAGGTATTCCATACCACAGCACGTCATTGGCCGGGGTGGGGGGTAACTGGGAGTTACCCGGAAGGACACGGGCTTCCAGGTGGGACTTGTTTCCTGGCCGGTGGTATCGTATTCTCTTCCCTTGTTATTTTCCCTTATCATTGTTGTTGTTGGTAGTAGCGGTGGTGATTTGTGTTGTACATTGGTTGCTGGACTGTTCTTGTCTCAACCCTTGGGAGTTGCACCCTTTCGATCCTCCTCCCCGTTCCTCCGGGAGCGGGGAAGGGGAGAGCCCTGGGGGCGGGGGGGGCTCGATTGCTCTCAGCCCGGCACCACTCACTGGGAGTGAGTGAACAAGCTGTCTGGCTAGGGTTTAAACCACGACACTTTCTTTTCCCAGCACCAGACAGTGTCCATGTCCTTCTCTCACTGTTTCTACTGCCCAGCATGCTGCTGCCTGAAGTCATGCACATATTTCACCTTCCCAATTTCTCTCCTATTTTCTCTTGTAGCTGTGGTCAAAGACCCAGATCTGTTCATAGCCCTTTTTCTTCTCTGTTGTGGGGGCATTTTCAACCTTTTTCTCAGGTTCTTGGGCTGAGCAGTCTAGAGCACTGCTGTAGAGGACATGGATGACTGAAGAAAATGTCATTTACATCAGCTTATTCTCACTGGAGAAACCTGCAAGTTGTAAAATATATATAATACAATAAATACAACTCTACTGTTGCCTGAGGCCTAAAGTGAAAATGAATCCCTCACATTGCATTTCCCTCCTTTGCCCAAATACCAGAGGGCAGAGAAACCTAAAAAAGGACAAGTGTTCTCTTTCCATCTCAGAAGGTGCGGGGAAGACAAGTGGGGAAGCCTAAAATATATTGGATTCGCGTGAATTAGTAAGTTTGAGAGGGGTTTCTTCTAAAAAGGGAACAGAGAAAGGCTGTAGCAGTATGCAGAGTCCAGGCCAATTAACCCTCAATGTACCTGAGATGAGCGCATCCCATGGTGTGCAGGAGTTCCTTCCTTGGAGTGCAACATTAAAGGGAACAGAGAAGAGAAATGGACAGGAGATGTTTTTCTGCAAGTGTTCTGCAAGCTCTGGCACAGAAAAGGCTTCTTATGAGTTTCCTGGGAGCTGAGAAACAAAAGCAGCTGCTGAAGAATCACTTTTAAGGGAGGTTCATGATGGAATGTACTTAGCTCTCCCTGTTATCCACACTTTTTAAAGAGCTGAAATAACAGACTGAGCAGAGTGGCAAAAAAGTTATCGCTGCTGTTAGAGACAGGGGTGGATTGATGTATGACTGGCAGAAGGAGGAACAGATCACTGCAGGTAGCAGGACCCACTACAAAAAAATATCATGGCTACTGATCCTCTGAGCTGGCACTAGGCCTTGCTGCTAATCCAGGATGGCAACTAGGTGTCTTTAGCATTTCTCTTCAGCAGAAAAAGAAATAAGTTGTCATTACAGTTATACTCCAGGCAGGAAGGCCAAGACACTATTCTTTTGAAAACTCCTTTGAGTGTAAGTTGTATCCTTGTTGCTGCCAGTTGTATTCTGGCAGGAGAGTCACACACACATGTAACTTTGCAAAAGTGTCCAAAGATTTCACATGTCAGAACCCTCTGGCTGCGCAAGTGAGAGGGAGACCCTTGTGCTGCACGTTAAGTCCATAATGAGAGACGTGTGTGTGCAGAGTGGGGGGCATATTTGAGGAAATTACAAAATATTTCTTGAGTTAAGTATGTTTATGAAACATTTCAGTCAGGACCAGTTACACACCAGTGATTCCCAACCACATTCAACCTTTCTCATAGCACCACATGCTGCTTTCTTCTGTCTTCCATCTTGACAGAAACCCCAGAATACTGTTGCTGCCCTTGCCTTCCTCCACTGCTGTTAGTTTGAGAAAGTGCCAGTGGAAAGACTTAGATAACCAGCCAAGCAAAGCATATTAGTTTGGTCTCTCATCTCTAATGTTGGCGTTCAAGCCAGAGAGGTTGTTTTAATTGGGACCCACTATTTGAGATAAAATGATTTTTTTTTTTTTTTTCCTGGAAAGCAACTGTGTTAAATTTGAGATTAACACTAAGATTGATTAAATTTAATCTGGACCCAATTTTAACTTTCTATCACTCAACAATGACTTCCATAAAAGAGAAGAAAAAAATTAAAGCAGCCAGAGCATGGGATATGTCAATCTCAGCTATTCATTCTTAGGATATTACAGGAGGCCAATGTGTTTGGACAGTGAAAGGAGAGAAACAACCTGGTTTTAGAACTGCTAAGTATCCCAGAGAATTCCTAGTACACTTAAATTCTGGGTGCTAAACTTCTTGAACATCAGACCCGTAGACAACAGAGTATGCCTACGTTACTTGCAGTATCAAATGAAAAAATCTAGAGTTCCTATTCTCTCGCTGGTGTTTTTTCTCCTATTACTTCATTGTAAATGATTAAAACCTGCTGGCAATATCCCCTCTCCCCCCTTTTTTATTAATTCATGATGAATTCTGTTTTCTGGCTGACATCAGTACCCTGTCATGGTTCAAAACTCTTCCAGTGCTTGGTTGGCTTGTTGCTTGCTTGCTGAAAAAAAGTGTTTATATCAGGATATTTGGAAAGCAACAAAATGTGATGTTATGGGGTGGGGAGAATTGTTTTGTTTCTACAGAACTTGAACTTTGAGATATTTACATTGTCTAATATGTGACTCTCATTAGGAAAACAATGCAGATTGTTCTGGTCTGGTTTTTCCATTCGTTCTTTTGTTATAGCTTTGACAGTGCAGTAATATCAGTAGGAAGTAGCATTCTGTGCACACGCTGGGGTCAGCTGTCTAGCAAACTTGCCAGAGGGTAAAATATCTTTGAGAAAACTCTCAGATATTCCCATGTTCCATTTTTGCTTCCCTACTTGAGTTTCATGCACATTTCACAGTCACCTGCTGCTGTATGCAACTTCACTCTGATTATTAGGTTTGACCTTAAAGGTGCTGTCTGTTAAAGTCTCTGTATCTGAAGTAGCCTTTCACACGTGTCAGAGTTTGAATGCCTATCCAACCTAGATAAGGAGTGAGCTCACATGCCCGTGAGAATTCAAGCCCTTAGTTAAAAATCTTTCTACTGCAACAAGGATGACCTCTATTTTGTGAACAAACAATGAAGACATTAAAAAAATAAGAATTTAGCTACCTTCAGAACCAGAGTCCATTCTGAATCTCATATTTTCCTTTATTGCATGTTTGTTTAAAGACATCAAATGTCAAACTGGTAATGGTTTTGAATGCAGAGCAAGGGAATATGGCTATGGTCTGAGACAGGTGCAAAGTTTTAAGACATAAAAGGATGATTTTCACTTACATACTGCTCCCAATGCCAAAAAGGAGGCTATTCTCTAAAAAATAAAAAAATAAAAAAAAAATTAAGAAACTGCTGATTGGAGGTTCCATCTGTTAAAAGATGTTCCCTCTACAGTGGTGTTTGCTTATACTATAGAAGGACTGCATATATCACAATCTTACACTAATTGTGTGCAGTCTAAGAAAATTTCCGAAGAAAAGCCAATAAAAACTGTGGTTATGATGATCCATGACTTACTGCATTGATTTACATTTTGGTCTGTTGCACACAGTGCCTAACAAGAGATTGCTTGGAGAAATGAAGCTCTGAATAACACCATTAATAAATCAGGGTCTTTTGCTTCATATGTCATATAAGAGTTTGGTTCCTAAAATGAAAAAAAATAGGATAATGGGGAGTCCTGCCTAGTTTGTAACACCGTTCTCCTTTCTGAGTATGTTCTCAAAATGCTTGAGCATCCTAAGTTGCTAAGGATTTGATGTTGTTTGGCACCTAACAAAAAGCAACTTTCTCACTGGATAGCCAACTTAATTTAGAATGCATTACCTACAGTCAAATTATCTGCCACATGCTGAGAGAGTAGTTGGCTGTATGGACAACCAGAAAACCTGGACTTTCTGTTTTTTCAAAATTCTCTTTCTGAGATGTTCTTATAAGCAGCTACTTTCCTCTTTGGGTTTTCAAACTGAGGGTCAAATGTGCTTCACTGAATATCTATCTTTCTTTTTCTTTCTTTGCTTAACAGAATGCTATCCCTCTTTTACTGTGTCCAGCTGGCACATCCTCAGCATGCTGATTTCATTTAAAAAATCACTACCCGTTGTAGAAGCCAGATGTAGCTGAATAAAAGTGTTTTGCTCATCGTATCACTCTGCTGGCTGAACCATTCAAAGGGCCATTCCTGAAAACAGTGAGTACTTCTGGAGCAGTGAGAGAAGACATGAAGTGCTACATCTGTGATGTGCCTGAGAGTGGGACTGCTTTGACAGGGCATCTGTCATCCCATGGCTCTAGCATTTGAGCTGGTTCTTCAAACATATTGTTATGGAGGTTCACTTAAGCTAAATAAGAATAGTTGGAAAGAAAGCAACTGGTAAGTATAAAGATAAAATGGTCTCAGGTAAGACTTCCACAGGAAGTGTGTATAAAATGAGTCATTCTTTATCTTCCATTCAGAAAGAGCCTGTCACCTAAACAGTATACAGAAAATAATGGCTACAGCTGAGAGCACCGGGCTGATCATGCAAAGGCTTGAATGTTGTTCTTGGCTTTTCTGAGCTGCTTTGAACAAGTCACCTCCTCAATTTCAATACCTTCTCTACATTTTAATCTTATGTGTTGTTTAACCTCAGCTGGCAGCTAAGCCCCACACAGACACTGACTTCCTGGTGGGAAGGGGGAGAAAATCTGAAGGGTGAAAGTGAGAAAACTCACGGGTTGAGATAAAAGGTTTAATAGGTGAAGCAAAACAAGAAATTTGTTCACCACTTCCCATTGGCAGTCAGGTGTTCAGCCATCCCCAGGAAAGCAGAGCTCCATCACACGTGAAGAAACAAACACCATCACTTAAAATGTCTCTCCTTGCTTCTTCTTCCCCCAGCTTTTATTGCTGAGCAAGATGCCAATATGGTATGGGGTAGCAATAACTAAAACATCCCTGCGTTATCAGCACTGTTTCCTGCACAGATCCAAAACCTAGCCCTATTCTGGCTACTATGAAGAAAATTAACTCTACATGAGCCAAAACCAGCACAGTAAGCATCCAAGATTGCTGCTTGTCTTGATTAAACATACCCTTTACATTTTGAAGGAGGTCATGTCTCTTTCTAAAGAGACATTTCCCTTTAGAAAGGGAACTTTCTAAACAGTCTCATGCCTTTGATCTTTCCTCATAGGTCCTATTTTTTAACTGTTCTATCATCCTCATTGCCCTTCTCTGGACTCTTCCAAACAATCCATAAAAATCTGTAACTGCAGGGGCTATAAATGAGCATGTTACTCCAGCTCAGGCTTTCTCCTTCTGAAGATGGAAGAGTGCTTTCTTAGGGTGAAGAAGTGCACTGACTAGGAAAAAAAAGAAAGAGTGTGTGAAGATACTGTAAGACCTGGCTATTTTCAATTATCTCCTATGAAAGTCTTGGTCACCAGATGCTAATGTTAAATCACCAGTTGTAAGCATAGCTGTCACCTCACTCAAGCCTTATTTGTGTAGCTACAAGCACCCTTCATAAGCTTCCTTTTGCCTTGCTGTCATCTTAATGTGATGTTCTATACATTACATTACTTTTTTTGGAAATGCGTGCAAAGGCTAGATTCATAAAACTGTTTTGGCTATATTAGGATCCAATGAGATTGCTTTACCTTCTCTTGTACAGAAATAGTCCAGAGATTGACTAGTTCATCTTGTAGTAGCCTCCCATGTCACAGAAGTCTCCTGGAACTGTAAGGGAACAGACACCAGTGGAAACGCCAAGCAACTGCAGTGCCCATAGCAGTACGTGGCTTCTTAAGATGTGCCATGTGTACTGTTCCCTTCAGCACTATAAGTATCACCATTTATTCTAGAAGTTACTGGTGACTCTCTTTTACCAGATAGTCCTATCTCTTGGGCCTCTGTACCCTATTAAGCAGGTCAGACATTCCAGTCACTGGTGTTTGCTCGAGTTTCATCTTTGAGATGTCAAATACAGTTTTGCCCCCACCTAAAAAAGAAATACTGATCTGAAATTTTCTGTCTTGGTGCTTTGTGCCGCACTGTTTCAGGACTACCCAAAACTTGAATCATATCTAAAAATAGAACTTGTGAAGAATATACTTTGTAGTGTATGAAAATTATAGTGAGGTTGGTTTTGTGTTGTTTTTGTTTGTTTTGTTGTGTTTCCAGGTGTGATCTGCTTTCTCTGGAAAAACATATATGGCTTGAGCCTTGGAGAAAATTATCTGCTTGATTTTGGTGGAGGCTGGAACTGATCTGTGCTGCCTTTTTGCAGTGGGTGAATCTGGGCAGCCACCTTTTCCTCTGCTCTTAATGAGCATCTGAAGCAGCACTGCCTCAAATGCTGCCAATGAGGAGAGTCGGGGACAGGAAAGAAGTTCCTGGTGCTGGAAAAGGGAGCAGGACCAGCCCACTGTTGTGGGTTGACCTTCGCTGGACACCAGGTGCCCACCAAAGCTGCTCTATCACTCCCTCAGCTGGACACAGGAGACAAAATATAACTGAAGGCTTGTGGATTGAGATAAGGTCAGGGATAGTCACCAGTGACCATCATGGGCAAGACTTGACATGTGGAAATAAGTCTAATTTATTACCCACAAAATCAGGCTAGGATAACAAGAAATAAAACCAAATCTTAAAACACCTCCACACCACCACCCTTCTTCCTGGTCTTAACTTTACCTGTGATTTTCTCCACATCCTCCTCTCCAGCAGTGGAGGGGGATGAGAAATAGGGGTTCTGATCAGTTCATCACAGGTTGTCTCTGCCACTCCTTCCTCCACAGGAAAGGGCTCCTCACACTCTTCCTCCATTCCAGCATGGGATCCCTCCCACAGCAGACAGCCCTCCTCCAGCTTCTCCAACATGAGTCCTTCCCACAGGCTGCAGTTCTTCATGAACTGTTCCAGCGTGGGTCCCTTCCATGGGTGCATCCTTCAGGAACAGACTGCTCCAGTGTGGATCCCCATGGGGTCACAACTCATGCAGCAAACCTGTGCCAGCTGGGCCTCCTCTTTCCGTGGGACCACGGGGTCACAGCTTCCTTCAGGCATCTCCCAGCTCTGGAATGAGGTCCTCCCCAGGCTGTAGGTAGATATCTGCTCCACCATGGGTCTCCATGGGCTGCAGGGACACAGCTGCCCCACCATGATCTGTGCCATGGGCTGCAGGGGAATCTGCTCCAGTGCCTGGAGCACCTCCTCCCTCCCTTCTTTCTGCACTGACCTTAGTGTCTGCAGAGCTGTTGCTCTCACAATATTCTCTCCTCTACAGCTGCTGTCGCTGTTGTGTAGGTGGGCTTCTGCCTCCCCCTTCTTAAACATGTTACCTCAGAGTCACGACCGTGGTCTCTGATGGGGTCAGTCTTGGCCAGCATTTGGTCTGTCTTGGAGCCAGCTGGCACTGGTTCTATAGGGCATGGGAGAAACGTCTGGCAGCTTCTCACAGAAGCCACCTCTGTAAACCCCTGCTACCAAAACCTTGTCATGCAAACCCAATATGCTCAGAAAGGAGATGGGGAGCATGAGGCTCACAAAGTCCTTGGCCAAACCAAAACATCCTTGTTATCAGCTCTGTTCCCAAGCTGAAAGTCAAAACACTGCACTGCACCAGCTACCAAGAAGGGGAAAAATGACTGCTACTGCTGAACCCAGGACAGGAGCCAGACCTGTGAAGGGGTTCCAGTAGAAACATGTGCTACACCTGGTCTATAGGGGCAGGATGGAAGCTGGTAAGAAAAGGATAGGGGCTGGAGGGCAGGGAGTTCTGACAGAGAGGGAACTGAAGAAGATTTTATGGCTTCAGGAGGGATGTAGCATTAGAAAGTAGAGCAGTGAGATGCTCCTTCTTGCTCTCCTCTCTCCTTTCTCCATTTTCTTGAATTCATCACCTGAAAACTGAATATAGCATCATCAGGTGTGAAGTCTGGGTAAGTGGTATCCCTGCCTTTCACTGAGCTGCGTGGGCAGGTGCCCTTAATTAAGTCTGTATCCTAGTGCGTTAAGGGGCAAATCAGGTTTATACATGAAGATTTCAGTCAGTGTGAGCTTATTTAGAAACAACAGCAAAACTTTTCATTGCTTGGCCTTAGCAGGTTTAGAATTTATAAGGAATTGTAGTTCAGAGTGTACTACATCTGGTAGAAAAATAGCTATTTTCATGCTGTGAGTACTTAGTTTTTCACTTGGGATACTTCTAGATCTATTGTTTTAGAAAGATATTTTAGTCTTCAGTTCTTACTGAGACGAAGTCCAGAATTTCACGGTGTAAATAGGCATCACTAACTCAAGGTTTGCAATTTTAGATTTAGTTTTACCACAAAGTCCTGTATATTCTTCTCTGGGAAATCTAGATTCTTGTTTATATATACAATATATAGCCTCTGTTCCTTAAAAATACACCTTAACCTGTTACGATCGTGAGATAAACCCTAACATTTGAATTGCCTGACTTTGAAAATGACTGGTAGCATAATTTATACTTGACTACATAGGAATGAAGCAGCACCATTTGGAGTGATGAAGTTAAATGATAGCCCAACTGAAAATTTGTTTTTTGACAGATTATCTATGTTGGGAAAATGATTAGTGAATGAAGGGAAAGGAAGGTGGCAAAAATCAAACTGAGTAATTTATCCTAGTGTTCTTGGTTTTCCTGTCTTTTACATAAGTGTTGTACATATTTATGTACCAGTGAGATAGAGAAACCTCCTTCAGCAGCTACTACTGCAGTTCACTATATCCACAGCTAGACAGGAACAATACTGGGGGCTCCAGTTATGCTGCCTCAGGGGAGAGAGAATCAAACTTTGGAGAGAGCAGGGCAACAGGACATCAGCATGTACCTACCCTATAAGAAAATTGATGTGTTTTTGAGTACAAAGCCTCTTGTAACTCTGAATATTGAGGACACCAAATACAGTGGGAAGCTAGCTGCACTTGATGCAGCAATCAAAGGGTCAAATTCTTTCCCCTGCTGCTCTGTGGCAGTCTGCTGGGCTCCGCCAGTGAAACTGAAGAGGAGGATTTGGCTTGCAGCCTGGTTTTAATCTGCACGTATGGTATCAATTTTGGAAGCATTTTCTGGTTGTCCTCACAGTTATAAAAGGGTAGAAAAATATATTTATTCTCTTCCCTAGTTAAAAACCAGACTTTTGTTAACTCATTTGTGTTAAGTCTTGACCTGAAAAGCGCAATACTTCATTTTCAGTTTTTTCGTAGCACTGGCCTTTGTATTAATAACTACCTCTGCTGTCTATCCAAAGTGAAAGACCGCTCTGGAGAAATCAGCTTGCCACAGTGGATCCCAGCTCTCTCCTGCACACGTAGCTGGTGCTGAGTCCACTGGGACACTTACTAGTGGATCCCCCTTCTGACCCTAGGTACTGGTGTCTCCTGCCCATCAGCCTTCTTCCTCCATTTTCTTAGCATGTTCACCCAGTTGCTTGCTTGGAGTTGAGGAGCATCGCGGAGCATGGGATGTTGACAATAGTTGTGTACACTTCCAACCAGCTGCTGAAGAGGGAGTGTTTCCTCATGCTCACCCAAATTTTCAGCTTCTGTGATGAGCCCTGCAGCCATCAGCCGTTGACAAGTGTCTGTCCCCATTAACAAGCTCTGACCCTCTTAGAGCTCCATATCAAGCACTGTCATACCTTTCCTAATTGCTGGTTTACTATAAGGTTTTCTTGAGGTGGTCTCAGGACACATTCCTTGCTTTTTGTCCCTTCTGCAATGTTTTATGTCACCCTTTTCTATGAAGTAGATGCTGCTTCCTTCCGCTTCTGAGAAAGACCAGCAGCTCCTGCCTCTCCCCAGAGCAAAAGACTGCAAGAAGCTGCCTGTAGCAAGGATCTTGGCTTTCCTGTGTAATTGCAGATACCATTCATATTTTCTTCAGAATCTGGGGAAACTTATTCATGAGAGGTAATTAAGCCCTTAAAAAAAAAAAAAAAGGGTTTTTTATCTTTTGTTTTTTTTCCTGCTTTCTTGTATATTTTCTAGGTTTCCATCCCTCCCAATTGCTTCTTTCTTTGTCTGCCTTTCCACCCTCTTTTTGTACTCTTTTCCTGTATTTTTAACTCTTTCATCTACCTTGACACTCACTCAGTACCCAAGATCAAAATTCTCATGTGGCTGTACAGACCTATTGCTTCTTGACTCTTAAAAATCTTCTTTAGGATAAAATACTTCAATGAATAGCATAAGATAACCATTTAAGAAGCAACTGAAGAACAGTGGCACGCTGCATGCGATAAACTTAGCTTTAGTTATACTGCTAGGAAACATTGGAAAACTAGAAGGTGAGAAAATTAAGTAGGGAGATGAACCAAAGTTGTTGGGTAGCAGGGGCAAAAGGGCAGCCCTATCATACACCAGCCAGTAGATAACGCTTGCCACCTTGAATTTCTGCTGACAGCTGTCCACATGTGCCAATACTATTACTAAGGGTTAACAAATCATTGGAAGTTCTCATTTCCAGCAAACTGGTACTGCAATTGCTTCTAGCAATTTCCTGGGACACCTTTATCGTGTAATAGCAGTAATTCATAATCAAAATAGACAGAAAACCAGGAAGTTCCTCATGCTTTCTAGAGCACACTGCTGCTCTGGTACTTTATATGGAATACGTGTTATCTGTGTTGTGTGGGTTTAGATTTCTCTTTTGTGAAAGACAGATCAATAACTGCTGAATTAACCAAAATTAACCTCCTAACATAGCTATCATGAAAACAAGCTTTAACACCTGCAGACCAGTATGGCCGTGTTTGTATTTCAAGACCCAAGAATGCCTTAAGCAGGTTCTTTTAATAAGATGAAAGCTTTTGGCTACCAAAACCCACCAGCTGATTATTACCATCATGGTCTTATCTTAATGTGGTTGTTTTGAATGCTGAAGATGAGAGAGATTCTATTTTGGAAATACATTTCCAGTATTCAAAGCGATTATGAAACCAACCCAGGTGTTTTACTTCATACCTCCAACATTAGCTTTTTTAATGATAAGTCAGTCATGCAATTGAGATAATACAGGTTTCTATCTCAATCAAATTTGTTCTTCTTCTCTAAGACCAATCACTATGACAGTTCCAGTTCACTTAAGTCTTCCTTTATGCAGCAGTTTGGTCATGGCTGTAAGTATGGAGCTGTTTTCATGTTTAATTTTGGATAGTAGTAGCAACAGTGGGAAATCATAGCTAATCAGGCCATTGAACACAATCATGCCAGATGCCTTGTGTGTCTGGGGTTTATCATGCACCATGAGACAAGCTCTGGCCATTGTGTGCA